TGTAAATTTAGTGACTTTTTTTGACACCCTATTCTCTCTTCAACCCTTCACTGCAATTCATTGGTGTTGAATATCCTTTTCTTAGTAGGCCATTCTCGAGCCGCCTCACCTCCCAACCCTCCCCTTTCCCTTTCCACCTCCCCCCTCTTACCTTCTTTTTCGTCTATAAATATTTTAGAATCCTTTGTCACCGTTTTTTCCTTTCTTTTTTCTCGCATTTTCGAGCGTCCTAAAAATACGTCCAGAATGGGCAATCTCATCTTTAGTGCATATTTGAATTCTGTTGCATCATTAGTTACATTTTCTTGCATTAAATCATTGTTTATCTCCTCTTTTTCTCTCTAATTCTTTTGTACAAATAATAATTCCAACTTCTATTTAATTTCTATTTTGTTCTTAAGGCACATATTTGAGACCACCCCCCCAGACTCTGTATATATACCATCATAATTTATTCAACTATATTTGTTGAGACGAGATGAGCTACAGTGTGTGCATATGAATGATCCATATGAGCACGTTTTATACATAGTTTTCCATTCACACCAAAATATATCTATCTTTCCTTCTGTTTATTTTTCTATTTATCTATCTATCTTTCTATTTAAATGTATATAAATATATGTCTCTGCCAATTCACCTGTAAAAATACCTATCTTTCTTTCTTCCATACCTAACTACTTAAACCTACCTCTACCTCCCGACCTTACTAAAGAGTAAAGACTGGCCTTGTTCTATTTCTTTCTTTCCCCCCTTTTTTTCTTTTTATTTTCTCTCCTTTCTTCTTTCTATCTGTATTTCTTTCTTTTTCTCTTTTTATTTTCTGTTTTTTTTCTTTCCTTTTTTCTTTTTTTCTATTTCTTTTTCCCTCCTCTGTTATCGATTTCTCTTTCTCTCAATTCTTTTCGTTTTTTTGGTTTATCTTTTGTTCTCTAGTACTTTCTCTCAATATTCTCTTCTTTCCTTCTCGATTTACTGCTTTTTATTTCATATTTGTTTGTTTGTTTTTATTTCTTTCTAAGATTCCCAGGATTTTAGACCGCCTTCTACAAATAATTTTAGCGTTTAAAAGTTTTATAATTTATTCCATTTTTTTTTAACATAAAAGTAAAATTTAAAGTTTCGCGTATTTTTCAGATAACATTAGATGGATTTATAAAATTATGAAAAATTTTATTTTTATTGTTTCAGTTTTGACAAAACCAATTTGTTTATTGGACGCAAACATACCGCTATACAGACGTACAAGCAAGATATTCATCTTTATCTCTGCATATTTATCTATCTAGTTATCTATCTATTTTTCACTGCTTATAATGCCCATCACGACTTTACTAAATCAATTACTTGGTATGAATTTACTGTTGGCAAACTGAGGACAACTTTATAACGGGAAATGTATTGAATGAACACAGGGTGTCTTATTTAACAGATTTCAAGACAAAGAATAGAATTAAGTTCGCTAAAAGAGTGAATAAAAATAAAAACTACGGCTCTAAAATATCATTTTAAGAAAGTAATTACGATCGTTGATAAATTAATAATGATTTATCCACTATTTGTTATTCAAATTTATCTATAACTATGATGTTGAATACTTAATTATGTGGTTACTAACAAAGAATAAGACTTCAATAGCGACTGAACGAAAGTTATTTCAAATTTCTAGCAATCTCGTGATTTCTTTCAGAAACGTATTAAAATTACAAATTACACACTCAGTTTTCAGATATATCGTCAAATTTAAAGGTGTTCATGTCGTCCCTATAAAATCACATTCTTTGTGGATAACCCTGTATTTATGTAAGGGTGTATGTAAAGGTCTATGTAGGTGTAAGGAGAAGTGTATGTAGATGTAAGGAGTAGTGTATGTAGATGTAAGGAGGGGTGTATGTAAGGGTGTATTCGGAAATTATTAATATGCAATTTTATATTATTTGATTTGATTTGATCCCTTTTAAAACCTTCTCAACACCTAAAAATTTAATTTTGTTTCCAAATTTATAAATATCCAAACAAAATGATATTATATAAAGACGACCTAAAATATTATACCAAAAATACACCGATCTAAAGGTTGAATTTGGCCTAAAGGTATGGTGTTTTTTTATATTTTGATGAGGAAAGAATCATTTCTAAGAGAAATGCATCTGAACCCGTTTTGTTATAGAGGAATCCGAATCCGAAAATAAAGAATAATAACCACCTGTTCTGAAAAGTTTTTTAGGAAAAGTTCGCGCAATTGCATCTCAAAAGATGATAAAATTGAGTACAACTACTTTTTCGGTGGAAATTGCAAATTTTATCTTTACCAATTTTGCCTACAAAACATCCAAAGCATGGGAACCCTTGGTAAAGTAAAAATCCCGTTACACTCCAGTGAGTGAAGCTGTAAATAATTATAACAAATTATAATGATTACATAAAAAAAGAATATAAAACAAGTTATACTCTGAGGAATTTATAAATCATGAAAAACTAGAGTTATGAAAAGTATTGATAATATTTAACAGCTGCAGGCAATATCTCTCATAAACTTTATTAAAAACTTTTATTTATAAAAGAGTTCTGAAAAGATCAGCACATTAAACTTAGACTAGTGGTTCAAAGTTTGTGTGGGTGGATACCAGAACTTTTAAATTTTACAAACATCTATTTGGTCTCTTGTTTTAGGATATGCCTAGATTATCTGATCTGTTCTTAGTTAAATTTAAAAGTTTGAAAAATGACAATAAAGATCGGAAAAATGTAAAGAAAAAAATGTTGTTTTTGACAAATATTAAAAATGACACAAGTTCATACTTTCAAAAAGTGTTGTTTTTAGATGTTGTTTTTGACAAATATTAAAAATGACACAAGTTCATACTTTCCAAAAGTGTTGTTTTTAGATCTGTAGCTTATAATACTTTATTTTAGATTTTTTTCAACACGGACCGACGTTTTACCTTCGATCTTACCATGAAAAAACATTTGGAAAAAAATCCTTTAAATTACTATTCCTTAAAATTGAACCAATTTCAAGGTGATAGTGTCAAAAACGAGAGTGCGAATGCCCCTCCCCCCCAGCTTGTTTAGGGTTAAATTTAGGCAAGGATGTCAAAGTCAAATTTTTTGGTACTTAATCTTCTATTCCGCCATATTCAAAACTGTCTGATCCGGCTGATTAAGTGATATACCCTCCCTATTGAAAATTAGAAAAAAAGAAAAAAGTTTGTTGAGTTAGCTTTAGTTCATCTTTCGCAAACACTCTCTTTAAGTCTAAACTAGTCTTTTTTGTTTGGTTTATATATAATGTTTAACCATCAATCTCATTAGAAGTTTTTTTATTGGAATTTTTTTTAGGATAAATGCACCTAAAATTGAAATACCATGTGCAATAAATAAATTAGCATGAAAAAAGTTAAACAAAATTTTGAACTTATTTAAAATTTAATAAATATGTTGGCGGTGTGCTGAAATATTTAGATTTATCTTAACAATTCTAGATTTAATCATATTAAAAACAAATGTTTGCAAAGTTAAAAAATAAGCCTTTTCCACCAACTAAAATCTTTAATCCATAAATCTTTGCAATCTGATGTTGTAAACTTTTAATATTTCAAACTTAGATTATTTGATAAAACAGAAATTAGAATACATATTTTGAAAAATCGAAGATCTCAGACATTGGATTGCAAAAATCAGAGTTTGTTGCAAAAACTGAACTCCTTTATTATTTTGCAAAAGCAAAATATGTATCGTAGACTTTTACATTCCCTTAAATAGAAATGGAAAAAGAAAATGTGTTTCTTAGATTTCATTTGCAAAATCTTTTGAAAAGATATTAAACTTGCCAAAATGAGAATGTGGGGAAATACAGGGTGAGTCAAAAAAGTGTGTGGTGCAAAATTGTACCTTTTTTTGTGCAACTCTCCTGCATGGTGTTTTTTATATGTTTTGAAAATTTGTATTTTTTTTGGTAATCCAAAGACTCAAAAGAAAATCCGCGAACCTTTTTTTCTCTCAAAATCAAAAGTTCAGAAAAGCAAGAATGTTTATATACATATACATATATATATACATATATGTTGTAAATTATTTCTATCGAAAACTAAAATCTTTTAAAGATTGAATCAAAGAATCACAGAAGATTTGCAAAATTGTAATAAGAAAATTGGCAATTTTTAGTTCTGGACTAATTCTTAAGGACAAGTTATATAAATTTTCTAGTTCCATTCTTCTTAGTATATTCTAAAGTATTAAATATATGCTGTTCAGTTAAAAACCTTATATAGAACCATTGAAAAACAATTTTTCCGAAAAAATTATACCAGAACTGAAAATTGCAAATTTTCTAATTACAATTTTGCAAATTTTCTGAGATTCTGTGGTTCAATCTTTTTAGAATTTTTGATTTCGATAGAAACAATTTATTTACACATTTTTTGGTTTTTCTGAACTTTTGATTTTGAGAGAAAAAAGGTTTGCGGATTTTTTTGGGGCCATTGAAGTATCAAAAAAAAATACAAATTTTCAAAAAATATTGAAAAATCATCATACGAGGGAGTTGCACAAAAAAGGTACAATTTTGCACCAGGCGCCGCAAATCGCACTTTTTTTTGACTCACCCTGTAGATTTCATTCTCTTTTATTTTGCACTATTTTTTCTATTTATACTATTTTTTCTATTTTTCTAATTTTTCTTTCTCTGCTAGTTTTCACAGTTTTTCTTTAAAGATCATATTTTGTACATTTCGAGTAAAGGCTGACACATAATATAAGACCGTAAAGACGACTTGAATTATTAATAAGCGACAATTCCAAGGTTAAATTAAGTCTTCTTGACTTGAATAAAGTCTGTTAATACCCAGCGAACTTTAACTCAACTTTTTAAATCGACTTTAACTCGTAAATAGATAAAAATAAAACAAGGTGACAGACATGTATTCATCCGTACAGTCGTCTATGATGTTTATTTTTCTTGTTTGTAACATATTTAGATTCTCTTTCTTACAAACATAATACCAGCCACTTATTTATTTACATGTACTGAATTACATAGTTAAGTTTTTAACCAAATTATGCGTTCGTTATGTACTTTACTGTACAGTGTACAGATATGCATGTACATTACATCCTGTACGGTACGCCTACGCCAGCCAGCCTACTCTAGTATAAAGATATAAACAATGTAAAAAGACTGAGACTGAGAGAGTAACAGAATTTAATCAAGTGAAAATTAGTATATTTTTAGAATCTTTATTACTAAAAGGGGAAAGGGGGGGGGGGCTGGGCCGGATTATTTTGTTATTGGGTGTGGAGGGGGGAAATAAATGGATAGAAATAATCATCTCGTGCTTATTTTTAATATTTTGTAGCAAACAAAATTATAAAAAGTAAGTTTTAAGATTTTCACAAGAAATGGAAGGACAGTAAACCAAGATTAGTAAAATACAAATATATTGAACTTTTCTTATTTAAAAAAATGAATTCTTTATTTTTCCTTTGATTTCTCTGGTTGATGATTGTCCTGTATTGAATGAGTATATCCTCCATTAACCTACTAGAGAAATTGTTATGAGAACATCTAGGACATTTAAAAACAATAACAATGAAACCCTTAATAACGAATACATCGAAAGAATTCATCAAATAACGTATTCTTCACTTTCTGATAATGGAATGTTGCAGATATTTAGTTTTTTGATTAAATGATAATATGGAACTCTTTAAAACTGTTCCCACATATTCATGGCTATTTATTTATTTTCGCAAATACTGAAATTCACGTAATACAGTATAAAACTCATTGAAAAATTGTCAAGACGACATTTGATAAATTCTTCCGATGTATTCGTTATTAAGGGGTTCACTGTAAGTAATTAAAATCGCTACAATTAGTTTAACTATGCCACCAATATCAATATAGAACCAGCAAAGACGAACAAAGTTTAGTTACAAAAAGTGAGAACAAGAAAACTCTGAAATAGGAGGACGACTTTCAGACTCAAGTTATCATAACTTTAAAAAGTCCAGTGAACCGGAGACACAAAAATTGAGCAGTCTATACAGACCCATTTCGCCAAGTAAATGATTAATTAAGAGCTGTTAGTAAAACTATTTTTTTGTTACAACATTAAATACACTTCAGTGTTATTTCAATGTTGTCTTCATATTCCTCAGTTTTATGGTTTATGTTTATCTATTCTTTTTAATTACCGGTTGGACTATTTTTACAAAATATAAGGAAAGGAAGGAAATTAATTTTTATAATGTTTAAGACATTTTTGAGAAACACTCAGAGGGAGTTAATTCCCCCCCCTCCCCTCTTAACCGAGATAGGGTTAATCTAAAGATAAATTCTTTATTTGTACTTTTAGAAAATCTACGAAGTTTTCTACATTTGAAAGTTGTATTGCAAAAGTTTGATTTTGATTCACCTTGTGAAGCTAAAATGTTCTCACTAAAAGAAGATATAAGCTCAGGCGATTTTTAAAAATTTTAATCCTTTAAGCACACTATTGGTGCAATTTTAAGGAACCCCTCATAAAAAAAAAAATTTGGTTCACAACGGTACCCTCCGACCTAATAACTCTGTCTGAGCTAGAATGACAAATATATTCTTGTTTTTCAATCTGGAAACTATAAAGACTATTCAATTGTGATCTCATTTTAAGTGTAGTTTTTGCTGCAGAAACGACGAAGGAAATCTTTAATTTTTCAAAATAAAAAACGCCAATTTCTTTAAATTGCTGAATAAACATATCCTTTGACTTACGCCGATTTTCAGAAAATTGTTTTTTGGCATCTTTTGTGTAAAGGAAAATATAAAATAATAGGCATTTAGTCCGCTACATTTTATTAAATATTTTATCTTATATTTTGATGTATTTTTCCTCGTATAAGATTGGACTGTTAACAACGAAAATAGGATTATCAGAATTTAAAAAAATTGCAAATAGGGGTGAAGCAGGCTCACTACTTAAATCAATCTTGCATCGAAATATATGTATACACTAATTTTAGTTACTTTTTTTTGATTTTTTACATAAATCTTTATTTGATATATCAATTTACCATTAAAAAGTTGTTAATTGCTTTTAACTTACAGAAACTCTTGAAACTTTATTTGTATTTAATATTGTAAATACTGAACACAAAAATAGATGTTAAAAAAAACTTTAGATTTTTCCTCTTTTTAATTATATTATTTGTTTTCCTATAATGGTTAAAGCGTTCAATAAACATTTTAATAGCACTAAAAAAAAACTTAAGAAAGACCAACTTATCAACCCTTTTTTAAAACTTTTATTGGTGGAATAATAACTAAGAGTGTACATTTTATACTGTGTAACCAAGCGGGCAATATAATTTAGTAAAAAATGTAAAGTATTTACTCAAAAGAAATATTAAACAATTAAAAAAAAAATCAAAAAACCTCTTTGGAACTCTGCACAGTTTCATTTGAAGAATAAAACAACCCGTGGAAGTTATCTCGACAGTCAAAAACAAATATTTACCTTATTTCATCATCTAATGAAGAAGTTCTTGGTGTAAAATACTTCTGAGAAATCTTTATACTTAGGCAAAAGGCAAAAAAATATATATAATGTGTATTACAAACATTTAATAGCTGGCAGAATAAATACTTCTAAGTTTTTTCTTTGATACAGTGAGAACCAAAAAAACTCTGGAATAGAAAGACAACTGTACGTTTCTATTTATGACTTTGAATAGTTAAATGAACATGTCAACGCAACTGAGAAGATCTATTTCACGTAATAAGTTACTAGAACTAAAAACTATAATTGTTTTGTAAAAATCAAATACACTTTAAAATAATGTTTCAATGTCGTCTTCCTATTTCAAAGTTTTCTGGTTCTTACTGTAGCTAAACATTATAGCTATACAAAAATGTGATTTAAAAAAATGATAACAAGACTTCACAAGCTTTTCAAAATGTGTTCTACTTTTTTGAATCATCAAAAAGCCCCCCAAAAAATTAAAAGAATTTTTGATTTTATATTTATTTATGAATACATTTATTCTTTCTCAAAAACAAGGTTCATATGTAAAACCACAATAAGAAGACGACATTATCAGTTGAATTTCAAAAAAAGAGATTTATTATTTTCAATAAACCCAATTTAATCTTTGTTCGTATTAAATTTAATTTGCATGCAAATATAATTCCTCGGATAAAGCAGACATATCTGAAATATAAAATTGAATTACAGGAAATTATAAATATGAATTATTTGATTAATGAGACTGTAAGTTCAAGTGCTCCCTCAAGCAAAGATGGCAATGTCCAACTCACTTTTGCTTTTTGTAGAGAAACCACGGTCAAAAATAATCAGTTTTCCATTTAGAAACAATGATGTTTAATTCATTCTTGATTAGAAACGGGATTTGCATGGAGGATCACTTAATAAGCTAAGCTGAAACTGTTTCTTTTCAATATGAAAATGGGAATAAAAGTTATTTTCACATTTTCAAAAATTTTAAAAGGAAAGGATGTTGTAATTGATGGTATATAAATTGTATGTTTTTAAAAATAAAAATTTTCCGTTTTTAAGAAATAATTTTTAAAAATTACAAAATCACCTTTTCATAATTAAAGGCAGAAAAAAGCGACTGTCATGTAACTGTTTTTTGTTCGAAAATTAATGTTTAAAACAAGGAAACAAGAAAAATAATAAGAAATATTTAATTAATTAGAATTTAAACCTTGCGCTCGTTTGAATAGTCTTGTATCTTCTTCCCTGAAATTATTAACTTTTAAAAAATCTATGAAATTATACATGCATTGACATGCATTATACAATACATACATCTAATTTATATTAATCTCTCTAGAAAATGATGATTTGTTTCGCTGTTTTAATGAGTAAGAATTTACCGTACAACTTGATCTAGAGCTAGCTACCTATAATTCAGACCGGGTACTTTAGTGAATTGGGCTTTCCGACCCGACGATTGCTGAATTTTGGTTTTTAAAAGGATCAACTTTTGTATATTATAAATATTTCCGTTTATTCTTATATTCGTTTTGAATAACTAATAATTACTTAACTTGAAATTTAATTTTATTACACGAAAAATGTGTATAACAAAAGGAAAACATTTCACTATATGTATCATTTAGACCCTCAGGGATTTCTTCGAAGTGCAATGAAGTGTTTCATTGTTTTTTTTTGTTTTTTTTTCAAATTCGTTAACATTCCCTTTTATATTTGATATTTACCCATAACCCTCCAGGGAATTCAGAAACAAGTTTTTCTTCATCGGCATTAAACTATTCAACATCCCTGATAGCGCTCGGGCATTCTAAACAAATAATTTAAAAGGACTGTAAGCGTAATTTTAAGCACCACTGCTTGCAAAAATGGCAATGTCCACAACGGTACCCATCTAAACTTTGTCAGATAAAGTATGAATTAGAAATCAATTTTTATAATTTGAAAAACTGATTATTTCTCTTACAATTTTACTTGCGCATTTTCACAATAAGAAAGTTATCAGAATTGCGTTGTCATCTTTGCATGGCTCACATGATAAATTGAAGGATTTAATTTAATTTTAAACATTAGGCGATAAAGATACAGAGTTACCCACAAAGTATGAGACTATTTTTCAAAGTTTTATAAATGATTAAGCCCAGAAAAAGCCAGTTTTGACCTACAAGGAACTCTAAATGCAAGAAAGTCGACTAAAAAAATCCGTACAATCATCTCTGAAGCCTAATCCTATGTGGGTAACCCTGGATATGGATTAGAAAATAAGAGTTTAAGGCAAGTGTACTGTGTACTGTGTACTGTGTACTGTGTACTGTGTACTACAAGTGTACTGTGTACACTGCTCAGTCTCTTTCTCCATTCTTTTCGCATTTTCTGCAGTTTTTATTATTTTAATTTATTTTATTTTGATTGGATAGAATCCTCATTTTTTTACTCAACAACTAAAAATAGTAAATTTTCCTCTTCAAACAAAATAACTAAGGAAGAATATCTAATAAAGACTGATTCCATTAAATTCTAAATAAATTCATAGTCATCCCAGATAAAATAGAATAGATGGCGTATGTCGTCTCCACCATACCGGAGGGTTTTAGCTCAATTTGATAATGGCAATTTAGTTAGGGTACCAGTTACTGACATGGTAACCGCCAAAAAAGTCCTTGGAAAAAAAGTTTCCGGCAAAAAAGTCCTAAAATTTCATACTATAAAAGTCCTGTGGAAAAAAGTCCTTTCATTAAAAGTCCTACCAATTCGAGACTTTATTTTCTAGGACTTTTTTTCTGGCTCCAGTATGATTTTATACAAAAAAGTCCTCGGAAAAAAAGTCCTCTAACAAGTGAAAATGCATGATTAACAATTCTAGGTTTTTCTTTTCCTCGGATTTATTTTCTTCAGGACTTTTTTCCCTGGGATCTTATTTCCTGAGACTTTATTGGCAGCCCCCATACTATTTTAGGAAAAAAGTCCTAGGAATCCAAAACACAGGACTTTATTTTCAGTGACAATTTTTCCAAGGACTTGATAAAATTCGGACTTTTTTCCAAAGTTTTTATTTCCAGGTTTTTTTCCAGAAACTTTTTTTCCCGGGACTTTCTTACATATTGATTCTACTGACATACAGTGCATTGCAGTTCAAGAGTTGCGTCAAGTATCTTTGTACTCTGTACTAATGTATGGGGGTTTGTTTTCAAATATTGCAGACAGACAAGTTAAAATTTGAATTTCAAAGGATTAGAAGGAATTGATTAGTTGCTGCTTGCTTCCGACATGATAATGATGACAATGGAACTCCTCCCTTCACACAAACAACACATTAAAGTCGGAAGACCTTTCAAACTATTAAATCTCTTCAAATGGTGGCGATAATAAATCTGTCAAAACTCTAAATGCGGACTGTTCAGATACAAGCAGTGAAAATCACGGTATAATTACAATTTTTTAATTTACTGTGTTTCATTCTTTCAGGAGTCAGGAAGGGGGAGGAGGGGTTGTTATTTAATTTAATCAGATGTTTCCATTCACCAATTATCATTTTCAATACCTTTTTAAACCTATACACTTTTGTATTGAAATTTTGGTTTACAATTTTTTAAAACAATTAATTTTGTTTTATTTCAGGATATCTCTTCAATTTTACTTATTTTACCTACAATTGAGACCAAGTTCCCAACCTGCGAATATATGATATGTTTTTTAATGATAATATACCGAATTTTTGTCAGTGCAATAAAGTTTCAGAATTAAGTAAATTTTATCTTGACCTGATGATTTGTTTTAGACTATTAAAGAATAGTCTATATTTTATTCGAATAAAATTTGTGTTCCCCAACAACAGCATTTGAATGGGTTGAGTTCTTTGTACTTTAGTCAGATGAAACATAAACATTAATCAGTCGTAACAATTCCAGGAAATGCGGAAAATTTATCTTAAAAAAACGCTAAAATTTAATTAGTGTAAAAGTGTGTGCTACAGAACGTTGTCTGGGGGTTATTTATAATTTTAATATTGAAATATTCCAGATAGAAATAAAATCATAAGCATTTCGTTAGGTTGAAAAAAGGGGCGGGTTACGATATT